TTTAACAAAACTTTTTTTTTATTCAAAAGAAATGAAAAAAATTTGTATTAACTCTATATTATGTCAATTACAATTTTTGTTACAAAATTTTAATTTGTTTTTTAAAAAGGAAAAAATGTGCAATTATTTATATTTTCTTAATAAAATAATAACTAACAATTAAAATCAATAAATATTTTTTTCAAGTAATTAAAAATTTTTTTTGAATTTATTATAAAATAATTATAAGATAATCTATAAAAGCTTAATGACAAACAAAAGTATTGATTTGAATAGACTTTCTATTAAAAGTATGTGATAGAAACTTATAGTAACTGTTCAAATTTTTTGATTCAGAAACACGATTGAAATGTAAAGAATTTATTTTCTTTTTATTCCTGTCAAATTGTTTAAACAGGGTGGCGATGACGACAGCTCAACTATTGCCGCATGTAGACAAGCGAGTCAGCACGATATTATAAGACAATCCGATGTAAATCACACCGCGGTGGAGTTAAAAGACTTAGTTCAAGGAACAAAAAAGTAATTCAAAATTGTCAAAAAACATTATTACATACTTACCCCAATGTTCTACGTATGCTATAGCACAAAACAAGGGAAATTGCTATGAGATGGTAAATGCTGTTTGAGCAACACCTCACCATGTTTTTAATGACCATGTATATTGTGGATTGTGGTGTGGTTTTCATAAAGATACAGAAAGTTATGATTATTTCACTGTATCCGGGGACAGCAAGATGCAAAGTTGTTTAAGGCTTTAAAGGGATTATTTTATAAATTAGCAGATACCGCAGACAAGTTTTTAACTGGAGCGCTAGCAACTGAAATGAAAGTTTAAATTGCTTCAACGGCATCAAAGGCACCAAAATCCAGGTGCTGCAGCTTCTCTGCTTCAGCAGATTATCGATTCGCTCCTTTTGTTGCACAGAAAATAACGATGAGGGATATACATAAGAAGTTGTTAAATATTTGACTTTATCGCCGGGTGCACTTCATAGGAAGCATGTAATAAGAAAAAATATTATTCTGGCTAGAAAACGCCTCTCTTCTAAAACACCGAGTTTTAAAAGAAAGAGAATGGCCCTGAAAGCGGTATGGTCGGCACTTTGACACAGACAAGGAGAATACTGAAGGTATAACTTACGAATTAGGCGTAGCGATGTTGACTAAATCGGCTGTTCCAATGTCAACGGAAGAAGCAGAAGAAAGTTGCTATGGTAATGCCGATGACGATAGAGACAGAGTTGTTCTTTTAGTCATGGAAACAAGTGGACTTCACAGGAACTGTGAAATTTTACAAATAGCTGCGAGAAGAAAAAATGACACTTTTGCAATTTACGTAAAGTCTGCAGAAGCACTTTCCCATGCAGCAAGTGTTATCCATGGTATAACAACTTCTCATGGTCAACTATTTGAATGTTCGTAACATCGGATCACATAATGCAGTAATGGACTGTTCTATGTTATCCCCTTTTTCTAAACAAATAAAAAATTTCTGATAAAATGATCCTGGATAACATAACATTATTTGAACAACAAGTTTATCATTGTGCTGCACTTGAAAACAAAAACGCGAATTTTACAACTTTGACACCACTAAAAGCTTACGTTGGTGATAGCATTAGAAGAAATCTTGCTTAGTCTGGAATAACTTTTCTACTCCTGACCAGCAAATATGTTACTGATGGAAAAGCGAGATTAATAGAAATTTAAAAAAAAAATTGCAGCACAAGGAAAAGGCAAGTTTAAATAAAATTTGTTTATATTTTGAACATTTTGTTCGTCGTTAAAAATTACAATTATTAGCCAATGCGTCCCACGTAAAACGATTCAATGGAAACCGTTCTACGGAAATTCCATACCGAAATTTTGCAAATATTTTGTATATTCTTGTAGTTTTCGATAATTTTTAAAAAACTGTTAAACTGGTACCAACTCCAATTGGAGTTGGTAACAGTTTTTTATACTATTTAATATTATTTCCTCATTATTATAATTTTTTATTTTTAATTCTTTTTTTTATAATTTTACCCAGTAGAAAATCGTTAGTTGATAAAAACTGTTAAACTGCTACCAACTCCAACTGGAGTTGGTAAGTTTTATACTTTATAATATTATTTCCTTATTGTTATATTTTTTTAATTTTTAATTTATTTTATTAATTTTACACAGAAGAAAATTCTTAGATGATAAAAAACTGTTAAACTGGTGCAAACTCCAATTTTTGAAGCATTTTTTCGAAAAAATAAGTTGTTTTTAGGTTGAAAATGCAAAAAAATACGATTGTTATTGAATTTTTTTATAAAGAAATTAATTTGTTTATATTCATAACTAATTTCAACTCATAACTTTTTATATAAAAATATACACTACCGTCCACGAGTATCAGGACGATTACACGCGACTCTATGAAAAAACATGCCATCGCTTTTTCAATCATATCTCGTAAATAAAAGGAGATACAAAAAACTTAAAGACGGTTAGAAAGCTGATTAAATTTTGCGTAAAATAAGCCGTCTTTGAAGTCATTTCGTTAACTTTTTTAAAAATCTAGAAAAATTTAGATAAAATTTTTCTAAAAACACAGAAATCTTCCTTAGAGTTTCAGCTTTAAAATAAGCCTTCGAAAATTGAAAAAGGTTAATCCGTCTTCGATATATCATTAAAAATGTGAAGTCGTGTTTCGACGATGGGTGCATTAGAATTTAACTGTGACGACTCAATTTTTGCTTCGCGAGGCTGCGAATGGAATAAAAAATCCCCCGCATGAATTCGTTCCTGCTTTCTCTCTCATTCACTGCCGGGCGAAGCCAGAATTCACATTTTTAATGATATATCGAAGACGGATTCACCTTTTTTAATTTTCGAAGGCTTATTTTAAAGCTGAAATTCTAACGAAAATTTCTGTGTTTTTAGAAAAATTTTATCTAAATTTTTGAAAAAGTTGAAGTCAAGAGACAAAAATGAGAAAATGTTATAATTTTTTTTATTTCTTTCTCACTTTACAACTCAAAAAATAGTTAACGAAATTACTTCAAAGCCGGCTTATTTTACGCAAAATTTAATCAGCTTTCTAAGTTTTTTGTATCTCCTTTTATTTACGAGATATGATTGAAAAAGCGATGGCATGTTTTTTCATAGAGTCTCGTGTAATCGTCCTGATACTCGTGGACGGTAGTATATAAAAAAGTTATTAGTACTCTTCCACGTTTTTACAATCGCTCATACTTGATGTTTGTCTCGTAACGAGGGACTATCGGGCTTTTACAGGGAACTACCATCTGGTCAAGATGGGCCCTGAACCGTCTCCGTTAGTGACATAGACGTTATAGCATTGCCGAAGCATTAATGCGACGTTGATGTATCTCTCCAAGATAGCAGGAAGTTTTCGCGGAGGGAATGTATCCTGTTATCTCTTCACAGAGTTCACCTTCACATAAAATAATATTAATAACACAAGCCGATAAGATTTACTTTCCAAGCATAAGACAATACTTTTCTGAAGGTTTTCGACGTGCTGAATCCGCCCTTAAAATTCACCCTGCACGTCAGGTTTTTGAGATATTTTAACCTAAAAGTGTAAAAAACTGTTTTTAGTTATATTTGATGTCATGTAACATCAAGAGATAATTTTTTCTCTAAAAGGTCTATATTGAATCTCAAAGCACTACTCTTCCCTTTTAAAATCCATTTTGAAAATTTACAAAATCTTTATTTGTCTCTGAGTAATCGTTCATTGAATTTTCTGAGTTTGGAGAATTCTTCGAAAACAGACAAAACTTCGATAATAACGAAGAATATAACTAAAAAAAAAAATTTTAAAAGTTCTGAAGACTTTCGACATAACTGAATACGAATTCGATGTTAGATTTACAGAATTCAAAATGGCGGATACAATGTGGCAGACGATTTCTTTAAAACTGATTGTATTTGCTTAAAATCCGCCATTTTTAATTCTGTCAATGTAACAGCGAATTCGTATTCAGTTATACCAAAAATCCTCAGAACTTTTTAAAATTTAGATGTTTGTAGTTATATTTTTTTCTTTATTTATTAAAGTATTGTCTGTTTCTACTCAGTTTTCGAAGAATTCTCCAAACTCTAAAAATTCAATTAACGATTACTCACAGACAAATGAAGATTTTTTAAATTTTCAAAATGGATATTAAAGAGGAAGAGTAGCGCTTTTAGATGCAATATTGACCTTCTAGAGAAAAAATTATCTCTTGATGTTACATGACATCAAATATAACTAAGGCGGGTTTTTTGTACTTTTGGGTTAAAATATCTCGAAAACCTGACGCATAGGGTCTATTTTGAGGCCTGATTCGGATTCAACACGTCGAAAACCTTCGGAAAAGTATTGTCTAATTCTTAGAAAGTAAATTGAATCAAATATTGTTGGCCTATGTAATTATTCTTCTTTTGGCATCATTGCTTTTATCTCATTATTTACTTTACCTCAAAAAAGATTGGAAAAATGAAAATAATGTAAGGAGCTGGAGTAAAATGTTACTTTAAGAATTCAGATTTTCAGAATTTTTTCATTTTGCTCTGTTTGTCTGATATAAAATTAGTTTTCTTGCAGAAATTAATTAATTATACTTTTAAACTATTTAGTATAATTAAAAAAGAACATTTGTGATTAATAAAGCTTAAATCTTGACCTTTAAAATACAATTTTTACAAAAAATTCTAAATCTTTTCGAATATTAAATTTTTTATGGTTTCTCGATAAGAGGTAGTGTAACATTAAATAATTTTTAACTTGTAAACTATTTAGTAAAAAATTATGAAGTTTGGTGGGTAATTTTATTATATAAAAGTGAATCATTTTCCAAAATATCAAAAGATTCTAAACATTTTCAAATTCTATACCATTCCTCCTACAAAATTAATTACTTTTATAGATATATGCCCTTAAAATACATTAAACAAACATTGTAATCCTTATAAGGAAAATTTATCTTCCGTAAAAGAAATGGAAAAATAAATATATATTTCTACTTTTACAAATGAAAAAACAAATTCACGTTTGACATGTTAACTTTAATTGCGTTTGGAATCGTCTATATAATCTTTCTTAATTCTTGCAATACTTTCAATTTTTAGGTTCAACCTTACATGTGGTCAATAAATTACAATTATAAAGAGCAGCATAATATTAATGGCTGTTTGTGATGCGGAATAAAAATTCATTGTAGTAGATGTTGGTGGAAGAGGAAGCAAGAGTGATGGTGGAGTCAGGAGAAGTAATTGAGATAAATGTATTTTTGATAGAAGCCTCAATCTTCCACCTTCATCAGAAAATTTTCCTAGTGACTACATCAAATTGATTATTTTAGCAGTTGTATGTCCGCATTATTTTCTTCGTAAACAAGAAGAGGACACTCCGAAGGATGAAAGATGTTACTGTCCTATTGACTTCGCTGACCGACTTGAGAATGGAGATGAAATTAAAGGAGATTGTAGACGAGAATTCCAAATGAATGCTGTTGCTTCTCTTCCACCTGAAAATCTACAACATTATAACGCCATTAACATTTGAAAATCTTTAATGCATACTTTTATAAATGAAGGTAGTGTTGGTTGGCAAAATGATAAGGTCAACGCAGGAGCATTTTAAGTTAAGGTACCGTCCCATGAAGGCGTAAAAGCGTCGACAGAAAGCGGAAAGTCGAAACTCACTAGAATTTAGTAATTTTTGTATTGGAGGTTCAATTTACCTTCTACATGTTTTTAAATTTTTGGTCGATTTTTGTTTTACCTTCTATAGAAATGGGCCTGATGTGTTAAATGAGTTTTAAAACATTTTCAAAAATCACTTGCAAGCATCACAGTAGGATTTTTTTACAATTAACTTTTTAAAACTGTCTACAGCGTAGACCCTTTAATTTAAAACAAAGATCACTCAAATAGATTAAAAATTAATATAGTTGTTGAATAAATGATCATGGGAAGGTGGAAATTGAATAAAAATCCAATGTGTATTGTCAGTATAGCGACGTTTCGTTGGCTAAGGTTTGCCAACCTCATCAGGCTGAATTTATTAAAAGAAAAAACACTTCAATATTTATAAAGATCTAAAGCACTATTTTTATAAAAGTAATGACAATAATATTATCATACCTAATTCATTAAAACATAGAGGCACGTTTTAACTTGTCAAGAAATAAAAACAATAAATAGATAAATAAATAAATAAAATACAACACATGTTCCACATTAAATAATTAAAAATAGAGTTAAAATTTAAAAAGGAAGACATTTCATTACACTGTCTCAGTGTCAACTGAAATAAAATTAGAATTTAACGATATAAGAAAGTCAAATTGATACGAGAAGGGGCAATGAACTTATATATAAACACAGGTTGTCAGGAAGTTATGTTATTGTTGTGTATCATTATAGGCAAGAGTCTATACATCTGAGAAGAGGAAAGAAGGTTTTGTTTAGAGTGAAAATATCTTCCTTTCTGTTGATAGTGGAACGATTAGTTTTAATATGGATCATTTCAGATATTCGTCGTTTTGTAAAATTTTTTTCATTGTCCAAGATTTTTGTGTTTTCCCAGTAAAAATCGTGATTAAAATTGGTTCGGTGTCGATAAACTACAGAGTTGTCATTCACTTTTTTGTGTTCATTTATGCGAGTAAGTAATGATCGTCCAGTCTCGCCAATATATGTTTGAAGGACAGTTTTTACAATTAAACTTGTATACAACATTAGTTATATCTCATTTTCTCGTCGAATCCGAGGGGTATTTCACTTCCGAATCATGCAGGTATAATGTTTGAAATCATACGAATAAAGAATTATTTCTGAAATGACAGTAATTAAACAGTGTGCGAATAGTGTCAATAGTGCGAGTTAACGTAATAAATTCTGAAATGACAGTAATTAAGCAGTGTGCAAATAGTATCAATAGTGCGAGTTAACGCAAATAGTGTAGTATTAATATTACTGCAGTATTAAATACTGTAGTCTAACGTCCTTGTAGAGCAGGCTGATTCGGAAGTGAAAAACCCCTCGGTCGAATCTTTACCTAGTCTAATGATGGAGTTAGAGTTTTTATTTATAAGGGGGATAGAAGTGCAATGAAACTCTTTGAGAATATTTGACAACTTGAAAAAAACATTTTTCATTAAAAGGTAGACAAACTTTAGGAGTTTGGCTATAAATATTATTTTTATTATTATTAGTTGCATCAGAAAATTTTATTTTGTTCATACAAATTTTTATTTGATTTTCAATGAAATCGATAGGATAGTTATTATTTTTCAAAATAGTTTTAATTTTTTTCAAGTTATCAAAATGGAATTTTTTGTTGGACAATGAAATCGCTCTGTCGACGAGATTGTATACAATATTCTTTTTTTGTTGAATTGGATGATCTAAAAAATAATTGATAAGACTATCCGATAAAGTCGGTTTTTGATACCAATTTGTAATAATTTTATTATTATCTCTAACAAGATTTAAATCGAGAAATTTAATAGAATATTCTTTTTCTTTTTCTACGGTGAATTGTAGTTTTTGATTATAAGAATTAAAAGTATCAACGACCAAATTAACATGTTCTTTTTTAACTGCTAAGATTGTGTCATCCACATATCTAAAATAGAACAGACCCTACTGAAAAAGAACGACTGTAAATACGAGCGTAAATATGACTGTGAATACGACCCTAAATACGGGCCTTAGAAGGGTAGTGTAATTGAAACAGCAAATACAGCCGTATTTATGCCCGTATTTAGGGTCGTATTTACGGTCATATGTGAATACCATTTTTTAAAAAAAAATATATATACCCCCACAGCACCGAAACTTTCCTAACAATTTATTGAATATTTACTTGTAATATTCGGCATATTTAACTGAAATGTTTAGTGAAAATTGTTCTTTACACAACTTTCAATAAACATTGCAATTACATATTCCGAACATTGCAAGTAAATATTTAATAAATTTTTAGGAAAGTTTCGGTGCTGTGGGGATATATATATAATGGAACATTATTAATTATTATTGATTTAATATATTAAATATAATATTGCAACTAAAATAAATAATATTTAAGGTAAGTATTGAAATACGATTTATTCTTATAATAAATGCCAAACAAACAAATATATAAATGTCACTTTATTTTAATCACAAACACACATATACACATGGTACAATTATTTATTAAAAATTGTAATTTTTATTATTTTTATTATAAGAGAAAAAACACAAAAACACAAACGCACAATAAAAACACTTGTAGATTTTTCAACAGCTAAATAAAAACGACAAATAACGCGAATCACATGTAACTGTAAGAATTTTTTTATTATTTTTATTATAAGAGAAAAAACACAAAAACACAAACGCACAATAAAAACACTTGTAGATTTTTCAACAGCTAAATAAAAACGACAAATAACTCGAATCACATGTAACTGTAAAGGCAAACGCAGAATAGATCTGTAACCGGAACCGCAATCGTAAGCGTAACCGTAAGAATGAGTTAAAGAAGGATAGGTATACTGTTTATCCTTCTCTAACTCATTCTTACGGTTACGATTGCGGTTCCGGTTACAGATCTATTCTGCGTTAGCCTTATGGACAGTTTTCAAAAACTGATATTTAAGTTGCATATACATTTGAAGAAAAATATTTTCTTGGATCAAGAACACTGGCATTGTGTTAAGTAAAAAAAGTTTCAAAGCAAATAAATAAAATGATTCGATTCAAGAAACATGAATTCTCCACACAATACTTTATTATTTCGCTTAAGAACATGATATTCTAGATTCAATACTTTTTGGTACTTCGGAAAAGTAAAATATTTGGTTGAAATAATTACATATTGAGTTCTGCCAAATACTAAATTGTTAATTCAAGAATTCTGTTCAATGCTAATAATTACTTGACACAAGAAAATGAATTTCTTTCTTCAAATAAATATGGGATTAATTGAATATAATTTTTAATCAACTTGAAACAAATATTTACTTATATTAAACTTCGTATTTTCTGGAATCAGGATTATATGAGCGTTGAATTAAGTAAAAACTTTTTTAAAGGAAACAAAAGAATGATTTAATTCAAGATCTTACACTTAATTGAATTGAATAAATAAAATATTTCATTCCAGAAAATATAACATTCTCGCAAGAAATTAATGATTTTGAAACATGAGAATATAGAAATGCTTCAAGTAAAAGAAATGCTTAGATTAATTAATATTTTTTTGAAACAAAATAATTTTTAATTGAGTTGAAACAATTATTAACTTGTATTAATCTTCCCATTTTCTTGGCTCAAGACTATGGGTGTTGAATGAAATAAATAGTTGCTTTAAAGGAAATAAAAAAATTATTTGACTCAAGATACCAAATGACTCAAGGTAAATTACTTGACGTGAGAACATGATATTCTTGATTCAATACTTTTTCGAGACTTGGCGCATGTAAAACAGTTCGTTTGAAACAGTAAGATATTTACTTATGTCAAACCCATATTTTCTTATTTCAATAACTTTGATCAATGCTCAAAATTACTTGACACAAGAAAATAAATTTCTTCCAATAAGAAAATATGGGTTTGTTTCAAATAAATCAGGTCAAGAAAATGCATTTGCTTGATTCAATGAACTTTTTTTTAGTGTAAGGGTACAATTTTAAAAATTTGTACCAACCAAATTTTGGGAACTCACATTATACTGTGTCGTCAGAGACTATCAAACAATTATAACTGTCATCATTAGATGACGAATTTTACAAATTAAATAAAACAATTTTTTTTAAAATAAGGGTACAATTTTAAAAATTTGTACCAACCAAATTTTGGGAACTAACATTATACTGTGTCATCAGAGACTATCTCGTCGTCCCCGTCATTTGCAGAAATATCATCTACATCATTGACCTGATCCAATTCCTGTAACCGCTTAATTTCTTCTAATATATCCTCCGAATCCATTTCTTCAAAATTTTCTTCTTGTTTCTTGTTATTATTCCTATTCCTGTATCTTTGTTTGGTAATTCGGAGCACTTCGAGCATCTCGTTTTTAAATTCAGAAATACTGTGAGGCCCAACAAAAAAAGTACACTGTCTCGCTGATTCTGAAAAAACAATTAAATGATTAAGTTACAATTAAGATCTAAAACTTCAATTTTTAAGAAGTTACAAATGCAGAAACTCAATTATTTTCAAAGGTAATAAAATTCTTATCACAAAATTCAATTATGTTTAAAATTTACAAGAATATCTCGACAAAATACTATTTATTATCTTTATTTATAAATTAAATAATTCTTTAAAATTCAATTATTTTCAAAAAATTTAATCAAATTCGTGTCAACTTTTCAATTATTTAAAAAAATTTTCAATATCTACTATTTTAATAAAATTATACGCAAACATTCAGTTATTCTCATAAATAATAAAAATTTTACTGAAATTTCATTATTTTTAATTTTTTTTTGTATTTAAATAACTGAATTTTCGTAGAATTTTCTAGTAAAACTTGATTTTAAAATAAATTTTTATTTAAAATTTTAAATAATAATTGAATATTAAAAGTATTAGAGCGTTGTAGAATTTCAATTTTAATCGAATTCCTTGGAAAATGTAACTATTTTAAAAACTTCAATTAATTCTCGTAGAATTTTCTAATAAAAATTGATTTGAAAATAAATTTTAGTTTAATTTTTAAATAATAATAGAATATAAAAATAATTTTGATGAAGTTACAGTAACAATATTCTTATTCTTATAATATAAAATAATGATTTTATCTCTCGATCATCTTTAATTATATTAGAAAACATGAAGAAATCGATCACTCCGAGTCGACAACTCGGAGTAATAGCTACCTGTATGTTTTATAACAACATTTTTAAAGTTGATTAATTTCAAAAATCTTTGAATTTGAAATTTTTGAAAATCTTAATTTAGAGGTAGGCATTTAATTGAGTTGAACCGAACATTAATCGACTCGACAACAGAAAATTCGAATCGGAGATAATTCGAAAATCGTCGTTTCGAATTGCACAACTCGACTCGGTCTACTTTCGATTCGAATCGGACAATTAGAAAATCGAAGTTTCGACTTTCGAATTACTCGACTCTACTCGATTTTCGAATCAAGTCGGCCAATTCGAAAATCCAAGTTAGACGAAAATCGAATTAATGTGCTATAATGTGTATGCTGTATGTTGCGCAATTCGAATTTCGAATTGTCAAGTTCAAATCGAATTTTCTCTCGATTCGAATATTGCACACCTATCTTAATTCCTATGTGAAAATAATAATCATTAAATATTTAAAAAAGAAATTATTGTTTTCGAACATTTCTTTCAATAAAATTTTTTCTTTCTTTTCTAAAAATTAAAAAAAATTTCAGTTTCTTTTTCAATTAAATTTTCTAATTGACAACTCTATTTCATAAATATTTTTTCCTTTATTTTTAAAAACTTTAAATTTTATTAAAACTTAAAACAATTAAAATTATTAAATAAAATTGATGCAAATTATTTCCTTATGAAAGTAAGAATTTTCTACAAAAATATTAAGAAACGGGAATATCTAATGTTTTTCTTAACAAAAGAAAAAAAAATCATTTTGTAAACAATATTGTTATTGAGAAATAAAAATTATGCATAAAATGGGTATATTTCCTACTTTTTAATCAAAATTTTTTAACAATGAATAATTTTCTAGCATTTTTTAAAAATAAAAAGGAGAATAATTTGCATAATAATTTAGATGAGTCAAACGAAATTTGTTATATAAAAAAGCATACAACAAACAAAATGGGTATATTTTTTATTTGTTATCATAATTTTTTAAAAAATTTCTAATTTGTAATATTATTTTATTATAGGGTAACTGTACCAATTGTCGAGGGTTTTAGGCAACATGTGACTTTGACATTTTTTTTCTCGGAAGTAAATGCACTTAAAAATTTGATTTTTGTATATTTGGACGAAGGATCTAATAATGTTTAATATTCATATTTATTTTTTTAATATAAACTAAATTGTTAAGCAAAAAATATATTTAAAAGTCAATCGAGCAAAAGCACCATTTGTCGATGGTCTTGTGCTAATTTCTCGAGGGTATGACATTTTTAAACATATAACCCAATATAACCTAACAATTAACCTGTACAGATATTAGAAAATCGAGTAGATATTTATTTTTTCGATAAAAATATTATAGAACATTACCAGAAAACAAATATATTTATTTAACTATAATTGAATAATTTATAATATCGATATAAAACATTTTTATAGTAGATGATACAGGACAGAAAATTATTTAACTGTTTTTTAAACTTTTATAAATATAAGTTAATTAAATTTAATCAATTTTGTTAATCAGACATTAATTAAAAAAATAAATTAATTTAAGTCACATTAAATTTGTAAACGAATAAAATAAACTTTTATTACGAACTGTAAATATAATGGTTAATTATAATTAAACTATAGTACAAAATTTTTTAGTTTTAAATAATGTATTTTTTTATTAATTTTTTTTCGGTCTTCCTCGTTTTTTTGGTTGATTATTTTCTGTTGGTTGTAAATTTTTGGAGCATTTTTTATCTTTTTCTCTGTACCTATAAATGTTTGGCATTTATGTTTGACGTTTAGTAAATAAACACTTAACCATCGATAAATGGTGCATCAGCGAAAAAAGTGACTACACCAATTTTCGAGTCATTACCTCGAAAAATGGAACTGTCAAAAAAAAGGAACCAAATACCGATGATTTGCTTTTAAAAAATATTAAATATTTTTTTTTTAACAAAAAAACATGCATACAAAATTAATTTAGTTCGTGTACAAAATTATAATAATAATTTTGTACACAAAAAGTCATTATAAATACGTTTAATTTACATTTCTAAAAATCTGTTTTTATCAACCTGAAGTATTAAGAAAATGGAGATTCGTGTAAATTTCACAGCAGTGAATTATAATATTAATTAAATAATTATTTCAGTAGAATTGCTACGAAATTTGTATATATAAATATACAGTTGAAAATACAAAGATTATTTAGAAATTTTTTTTGTTCTTAAATATTATATATTATACTATTTATCTAAAAAAGAAAATTATTATCCTCGACAATTGGAGCACCCTCGGCAATTGGTGCAGTTACCCTAAGTCATGAAAAAATACCTGCATATTTTCGATTTGTCAAATAATATTTTTTAAAGAAAAAAAAAACAAAAGCATACAGAAAAAGTAACTTCTAACTGCGGACAGAATTAATGAAAGAATATGAAGATTAATACATTAATTATAAAAACATTAAAATATACCTACTTAATTAATGTTAAAGAACAAATTTTAGTTTACGTATTTTTTAATGATAAACATAGTAATTAATTTTTCCTAGATTCTACAAAAAATTTATGTAATATTGCAAAATCAATCCATTAAGTAGATCAAATAATGAATCTCTATTAAAAGTTAAACTTACCGAACAGAAGATTGGAAATCTTAGTGTCTCCGAATTTCTCACTTTTTTTGCTTCCGGGCCAGGAAAATTGACTGACAAGTTCGTCAGTCATTAACTGCTTTACCGCATAATTTAAATTTTTCCCGGAATTAGTTAGTAGACACCCTGAATTGGATTCAATTTTATTAAAATTTTTGACAATAATTTAATTCTTGACAAGAATTTTTAATATAATTTTGAAAATAGTTTAATTTCTGCAAAGTATTTTATTATTTTTCTTAAGAATTGAATTCTTGTGATGAATATTGATATTTATAAAAATAATTGAATTTTGGAAAAATTTTTATTAAAATTCCTTAAAGTAATTGATTTTATGGGAAGAAATTTAGTTGTTTATCAAGCTAATTGAATTAAAAGTTATTTATGAAAATAATTGAATTATTGCAACTAATTTTATTGAATAATTTAATGTTTTTTAAAATTAATTGTATTTTTAAAGGAATTTATTTAATATTGCATTAAAAGTATTTGAAATTAAGCGATGAAAATAATTGAATGTTTTCGTAAACTAGAAAAATCTTTTGAAGGTTTTGTATTAAACTTCTTGGTACACAGTAAAAAATAAAAAATTTTAGAACAATATTTTTACTAATTAAAATTTAAAGGACAAAAATGTATTATTTTGTTGTAGTACTTACCTTTTTGACAAACTTCTTGTAATCCAAATATTCAGTTAACACCACTATCACCAAACTAAATAACAACAACGACCACGAGGACGTGTTGATACATCGACAGCTAGATCGATAATGGGTGAATAGTCCCAATAGTGTGAAGAACGCTCATTAAAGGTGCACTTTTTCACGCACAAAACGCAAATTGTCGTAAGTCACGTAATGTAAAACTTTAAGGTGCTCTTTCGAACACACAAAATGCCTCGCATTACCATCACATACGTGCAACCATCGTGCGACAATGTACTCGCATTAAAAAATGGCATTAAACATAATTTTCGCACGCAGAAAATGAGACGCATATCGTGCTAGTCATGTGTAGTTTATTTTCATGCATTTAAGCAGATTTTATGCATGCACAAAATGATACTCATTTCGTGACACTTATGTGCGACGCACTATTGTTATCTGGGTATAGACCCAACCTTTTTTACAACAGTGCTTACAGTTACATGTGATTCGAGTTATTTGTCGTTTTTATTTAGCTGTTGAAAAATCTACAAGTGTTTTTATTGTGCGTTTGTGCTTTTGTGTTTTTTCTCTTATAATAAAAATAATAAAAAAATTCTTACAGTTACATGTGATTCGCGTTATTTGTCGTTTTTATTTAGCTGTTGAAAAATCTACAAGTGTTTTTATTGTGCGTTTGTGTTTTTTCTCTTATAATAATAATAATAAAAAAATTCTTACAGTTACATGTGATTCGCGTTATTTGTCGTTTTTATTTAGCTGTTGAAAAATCTACAAGTGTTTTTATTGTGCGTTTGTGTTTTTGTGTTTTTTCTCTTATAATAAAAATAATAAAAAAATTCTTACAGTTACATGTGATTCGCGTTATTTGTCGTTTTTATTTAGCTGTTGAAAAATCTACAAGTGTTTTTATTGTGCGTTTGTGTTTTTGTGTTTTTTCTCTTATAATAAAAATAATAAAAATTACAATTTTTAATAAATAATTGTACCATGTGTATATGTGTGTTTGTGATTAAAATAAAGTGACATTTATATATTTGTTTGTTTGTTATGCATTTATTATAAGAATAAATCGTATTTTAATACTTACCTTAAATATTATTTATTTTAGTTGCAATATTATATTTAATATATTAAATTAATAATAATTAATAATGTTCCATTATATATATATATCCCCACAGCACCGAAACTTTCCTAAAAATTTATTAAATATTTACTTGCAATGTTCGGAATATGTAATTGCAATGTTTATTGAAAGTTGTGTAAAAAACAATTTTCACTAAACATTTCAGTTAAATATGCCGAATATTACAAGTAAATATTCAATAAATTGTTAGGAAAGTTTCGGTGCTGTGGGGGTATATATATTTTTTTTTAAAAAATGGTATTCACATATGACCGTAAATACGACCCTAAATACGGGCATAAATACGGCTGTATTTGCTGTTTCAATTACACTACCCTTCTAAAGCCCGTATTTAGGGTCGTATTCACAGTCATATTTACGCTCGTATTTACAGTCGTTCTTTTTCAGTAGGGGAGGGACATCATCATGTTTTTCTTTTAACTTTTTTAAACATTCAGTTTCCAGATCATTCATAACAATATCAGAGACAAAAGCTGAGATTGGAGAACCCATCGGTGTACCGTAAACTTGTCTATAGAATTTTCCATCGAACGAAAAATACGTGTTGTTAAATACGAATTTTGTAAAATCTATAATATCAGAAAAAGGGATCTTACACTTCTGATTTATAAAGTTAATTCGTCTATCCAAACTCTGAGTGGCAAGTTCACAAGATACATTAGTGAACATGGAACTTACGTCAAGTGAGATAAAAGTGTAAGTATCGTTCATAGTAATATCATTCAATTTATTTTTGTGTTGTAAACTGTTATTAATGTGTGACTGAGGTAAAGGTATGCAATTTTTTAAAGAATTATATAAAATTTTAGCAAGAAAATGAGTAGGACTGTTTATTAAAGAAATAATAGGGCGGAGTGGGACATTTTCTTTATGTATTTTTGGTAGTCCATAAGCCTTAGCCAAAACAGTGTCGGTCAAGGTCAATTGATTCGGGTGATAGTTTTTGTCTAAAAAATCGTTTTCATTCAAATATTTAAGAATTGCTGATGTTTCTTTAGTGAGTTTTTTTAAAGGATTCTTTTTTATAAGTTCATAGGTAGAAGTGTCAGAAAACATATTTGTCATTTTTTGGTTGTAGTCAGATTTTTTTAGAAGGACCAATTTTAATCACGATTTTTACTGGGAAAACACAAAAATCTTGGACAATGAAAAAAGTTTTACAAAACGACGAATATCTGAAATGATCCATATTAAAACTAATCGTTCCACTATCAACAGAAAGGAAGATATTTTCACTCTAAACAAAACCTTCTTTCCTCTTCTCAGATGTATAGACTCTTGCCTATAATGATACACAACAATAACATAACTTCCTGACAACCTGTGTTTATATATAAGTTCATTGCCCCTTCTCGTATCAATTTGACTTTCTTATATCGTTAAATTCTAATTTTATTTCAGTTGACACTGAGACAGTGTAATGAAATGTCTTCCTTTTTAAATTTTAACTCTATTTTTAATTATTTAATGTGGAACATGTGTTGTATTTTATTTATTTATTTATCTATTTATTGTTTTTATTTCTTGACAAGTTAAAACGTGCCTCTATGTTTTAATGAATTAGGTATGATAATATTATTGTCATTACTTTTATAAAAATAGTGCTTTAGATCTTTATAAATATTGAAGTGTTTTTTCTTTTAATAAATTCAGCCTGATGAGGTTGGCAAACCTTAGCCAACGAAACGTCGCTATACTGACAATACACATTGGATTTTTATTCAATTTCCACCTTCCCATGATCATTTATTCAACAACTATATCAATTAAACTATTGAAGGATTTAACTCTACTCAATTACTAGATTAAAAATTATACGCTGTAGACAGTTTTAAAAAGTTAATTGTAAAAAAATCCTTCTGTGATGCTTGCAAGTGATTTTTGAAAATGTTTTTAAATTTATTTAACACATCAGGCCCATTTCGGGACTTTTTGGAAAATCTTCTCTATATTATAAGGTATAAATAAATTTTAAAAAAAAATAAAAAAATATTCGGCCCAAAGGTAAAAAAAATAAATTTGTTTACAAAAAAAATATTTTTTTTTACATAAAAAATTTTTAAAAAAATTTTTTGTTTTTATTTTTTAAAAGTCGAAAGAAAACTAAAACTTTCATTCTTTGACAACTTTTTCCTAAACTCAATATTTTCGGACTTATAAGCTACTGAATATAGGTCTACAATTAAAAGTCTAAAATTTCGAAAATTCATAACTCGAAAAATTTTGACAATTAAACAAAAATAAAAAAATACGTATCTGTTTTTTTGGATACAGAATAGAAAAAAAATATTTTTGGCGAATTTTAAGAGGTCGACTAAAATCTCACGTGGAATTGCCCATATTTTTCTTATAATACATTTTGTATTTATTTATTTAATGTACATTCCCGCAGTCCAATTTTGGACCATAAATGGGTAACTAAAAAATACATAAAACAATTAAGTAACAAATTTTAAGTAACAAAATAATAAAAGTAAACAAAAAAAATAAATTTGCAAAAAAAAAAAATTATTCTTTTATTGTACTTAATTATTTTAGAATAAAAATATTTCAAGGCTGCTCACGTAGGCCGATTACATATTTTTTTGCACAATCAGCAAATTTAAGTTGCGAAGCCATAAAAAAATCCACATTTGGGCAGAAATTATTACACATATTATTAATATGGTAACACGCATAAAAAATCGGAGATGTTCTAATCAACCCTAAATCATCCTTACTTATATAAAAAGGTAAATTAGTACGGGATGACAAACGAGGAATCCTAAAATTAATTACCTCCAATAATTGTTCACAGTCAAAATGGTAATTAATAATTTTAAACAAAAAAACCATCGCATTAATTATGCGTCGCTCTGCTAAAGTTAAAAAAGAAAAACGTTGACACAAAAGAATATAGTCACATCCACGTACGGGGTAACGTCCATCCTCCTTGAAAGCCAAAAACTTAAGAAACCGCTTTTGAACTTTATCAAGAGGCTCAGAGAGCTTTTTAGTAGGTGTGTTCCAAATAATTGCAGCATATTCAGCTGGGGATCTTACTAATGCATTAAAAAGTAGAGTAAATGTTTGTATATTATTAAAATTTCCTGATGACCTTATGAGATAACCAAGCATCCTGGATACAGTAGCAACAAGAGATGTTATATGATCATCAAAACTAAGAATTGTATCAAGAATTAATTGTATTAATTAATAAATAATAAATATTAATAATAAATTATTAATAATAAATAAGAATTAATTAATTGTATCAAGAATTTTTTTGAATAATTTTTACATTATAGAATAATTAATTTTAAGAAACATATGAAGTGCTGGAATTGCTATTGGGTAAAACCTCCTTCTTTGCTAAATTCTCTCGACCAACATTCTTGTTTTCAAAGTTATAATGAAAATGAAAATGGCATTATTGTTAGCGATGATGGTGTCGTGTCTATAAGTAAGTAATATTTTTACGTATATGTTTACAGAAGTGTAAATTATAAATTGCATTAAATATTATTTTTAATAAGTATTGTGATTAATTAAAATAAATTTATTATATTCACAGAAATGTTGACGAAAAACAGAAAAAACATGCAAAGGAAATTAGGTTCTTTAATAATCTAAAAGATTACCCAGCTTTATTTGATGTTCACGAAAGAGTAAAATATTCAGTCTTTAAAAGACAAAAAATGTGGGTAATTCTTGCAAATACACTTCCAGGTTAGTTATTTTATTATAAAAGCTAATCGAAATTTAATAAGGAACTTGATTTAAAATAAAAAAGCAAAATATTTTTTCAAAATTTTTTTTTTTAATTTCTCAGTATGACTAATACTTTTTAAATAAATTTTTTAGAAAAAAAAAATTTTCAAAAAAAATTTATTTTTATTTTTTGAAAAACACCCCCCCCCCCTCAGACTTTTTTAAATTTTTTTATAGTGATAGCCAAAAGTAATATGAAATTTTTATAGTTGGATCGCGATAACTTTTCAAAAATCAAAATTAAAAAAAAATAAAATTTGTGTTGAATTTTGCTCGGCGAGCACAATAAAAAAGTCTAAGAACAATTGTACAACAAGTTAATAATTATTTTAAATAATCACACTTTTTTAACCTTGTTGAAAAATCAAAAGTTTGGAAAAATAAAATTTGTGCCTAATTGTGCTCGTGAGCACAATAATATACTCTCAAAACAATTTTTCAAAAAGTTAAATAATTAT